CAAAGAATCAAGGAGCCTCGTTTATGTGAATAAAATTTACTGCAACAGATAACAGTAACATCGTTTATGAAATGCCTGGTATGTAGTAGGGGCTTTGTACTAAACAGCCCCTGAGATACATATACTCTCTGAAAGATGAAGAAGCCCAGAGACGTTCAATAATCGGTCCCCTAAAATATACAGCCAGAAAAGTGCAAGGCCTGGATTCTGAGCTGGCGAAGAAGGGAGAATTGGGGATAATTAACACACACGGACATGCAAAGAAACAAAGACACAACCACAAGTCCACAGGGTAGGCAGCGGTTGGAAAGTTACAAATGCACCGCAAGGAGAAGATACCACCATGGGCCCTGAGAATGCAGGAAAGTGGGAACTGACTCTTATGCCCTTCCCCCAAGGCGAAGGAAAGGCAACCCCTGAATTCTTAAAATAACTCTCGCTTCCTCTCAGCGGGCAAATGCACCGGACTGCTCCTCTGCAGGCCGAGAGGCGCCGCAGCGGGAGGGTGAGCTCCAGCCTCCGCCGCAGCCCCTCGACGTCACGCTCCTGCCCGGGGCCACCAGGGAGGGCAGCGGTCCGCGGGCCTGGGAGAGGGTGTCGGCCGAACCCCACCTCCCATTTTCTGGGGACCCAGGGTCCAGAGCGGAGACCAGATTGCACAATCGGAGGAGTCCTCTCCAGGATCCCCGCCGCGCGCCCAATCCGCAACGACAGGGACTTGCCGGCGGTGCGCGAGAGGCGGCCGGAGCGGGGACAGCAGCCGGCCCTCGGGCCCGTGCCGGGAAGGGCCCGAGCCGGGAAGGACCCGCGGTGAGCCTGCCCCCACGCCCGCACCTCCCACCGTCCTCCTGCGCGGCTACGCGCGCCGACACCTGCGGAGCCCGGGTCCCCGCGCCCTAGCTCCCCTGGGCCGGGTCACCCGCAGGCTGAAGACATCTGTGAGTCTTCGCCGCCAGGGCCGGAGGCGGTGCGGCCAGGAAGCTGCCGCGGGCCGAGCCGATGCCCCCGGCCCCGAGCCGACCCTGCGCCCCCGCCGCCCCTGCACCCACCGCCCGCCGCCCGCGCCCACCCTGGGCTCGCGCCGAGGACTCACCCGCTCGCGGTGAAAGTTTCGGGGCGGCGGAGCTCCACGGTGACTTGAGTTCAGAGCGAGGGGCGCGACGGGGCGGCCCAGCGGGACCCGCGTAGGGGGAGGCTGCTGGCCGGGAACTCGGGACGCGCGGCGAGGAGCTGCGGGCGCGGGGCCGGGGGTGGCGCGGCCGCCCAGCTTGCCGCGGGCTGGAGGCTGCAGCGCGTCGGGCCCGGAGGCGCCACTGCCCGGGAGCTAGCGGCAGCGCGGCCCGGCGCGGCGGGAGAGGAACTGGCTGTCTCTGGGCTCGACCGAGAGGTCCCAGCTACTTCCTGGTGCTCGGATTTGCATATTGAGCCCGGAGGGCGGGGAAGTGACCGTTTGGTCCCTGCCCAAGGTTTGGGTGTTTGGTGTGGCCGTCGTGCAGGGTTTGAAGGCACAGAAACCTAGCGACTCAGCCTGCAGCTCCGGCGAGAGGAGGAGCCCGGACCATCCTTCTCCTGTAGGGACGGACGGACGGACGGGTCTCCGGGTAGCCTGGGCTTCGCAGGCGCATCGACGACATCTCGCGGGTCTCCTTTCCTTTCCTTCCGACCCCTCCTCAAGGTGTTAGGAAAGGGGTGCTCCCGGGAGCGGAGGAGGTGAGTTCTGATCCCTTCCAACGCTAGGGGGTCTGTAGAGAGAGGACGCGATATGCCGGGTTGAGGCTCGGGGTCTCGAGCTCTTAATAATCATTACAAAGTAAGTTCCTTCAGGGTGTACAGAGGGCTGTTCAGGGCATTGATGGGGGAGGGTATGACGTGGAGTCAAACGGCCCGGCAAGTTCTCCGTTTCTCAAAGCCTCAGTTTCCCCCCAGGAAAATGGATGTAAGGATGCCTATCTCGTGTACTTTTCTGTACCGGGGCCGCACCGCCTGCATGCGGGAATGCTGGCCGTTACTTCAGTCCTGCTACACCTGCATGCCGGCCTGGTAGGGCAGTGCTTGCAAGTAGCAGATGCCTAACCAGTATTTGCTGAAAGAATGTATGACCGCGGGCTCAAGCTGATATTCAACTTATCCAAGATGTAAGATTAGGCTCGGACACCATGGATACCCACTTCTTGGCCAGATTCTGTTCACTGGGATCCCAGCATTGCATTACCTTGAAGAATTTACAAGGAAGCAAATTGGACACTGTGGGAGACTTGGTCTTTGCATTAATAGCAAACATTTACAGAGGGCTCGATGGGCCAGACACTGCCCAAAGCACTTGCTCTCTCTCAACAATGTTCTGAGGAGGCTGGCCCCAGCTGCAGTGCAAGAGGTCAAAGCAACTGCCTTGTGACACAATCTGATACGGCAGTCATTTGTTACTATGGAAAGGAGTACTAAAGTTTGCAAACGAATTCCTTAAAAGAAGAAAAGGAGGGTGGTTTATACCTGTGATGTTCACTGGTGTGTAGTTCAGTTAGTTTGCTGCTGAAGAGAAGAAGGGGTGGGTTGCCCATGGGAAGGGTGTGATTGAAACTTATCAAGAATCCTATGGAGAAAAAAAGAAAAAAAAAAAATGAAACAAAACAAAAAACAAAGAATCCTATGGAGTAATTCACCGAGGGCCTATTGCCTGCTTTTTTCTTCAGAATGACCTCTCAAATATGTTAATCCTACATTCAAGTATCTATTGCTACTGATGAATCCTTGAGATCCTGGTTAAACGTGAGTGGCAAATAAGAATAGGACTCAAAACGTTTGGTATTGGCTAATCTATCAGGAATGTCTGTCAGTGTTTTTGGTAAAATGTCTCTGGGGTAAGGAGAGCATCATCAGGCAGACATGAGGTTGCACCCAGCTCCCCAACTCCCAACTCCTCACACACAAGGTGTCCTCACTAACTTCATCTCTTCATTCTTATTTGGAAGAAACAATACTATGCTAATTTCCACTTCTTAGGCTGCATTTTTACTTGATGAATACTTCGTTCAATCATTCTCTATATCTGTCTTTCCTTCCTAAAGTCCCATGAAAGTTCTGTTTCTCAGGAAAGTTTGATTTAAAGCTCCTATTCATAGGCAACTTTTCTTTTCTTTTCTTTTTTTTTTTTTTTTTTTTTTTTTTT